AAGAAACAACAAAGACAAAAAGCAGAACAGGAGACAAAATGATTTGAAGGAGACAAAATATCAAAAGGAGACAGAAATGATAAAAGAAGACAATACAATGGATAAAATGTTTAAAGGAGACAAATGATTTAAAGGAGGTAAAATGATTTAAAGGAGATAAAATGATTTAAGGGAGATAAAAGGTATAAAAATAATAAAAGGAGATAAACATGATGAAAGGAAATGCAAATGATAAAAGGAGACAAACTGGTTTAAAGGGGACGAATAATAATAAACAAAACACAACACAAACAAAAGAAATGAAAGAAGACAAAATGATTAAAAGGAAACAAGTGACGTAGACAGGAGACAAAAGAATGAAAAGCAGACAAAAAATAAAGTAAAGAAAATATAAAAAAGAGACGAAAAGAAATAAATAAAAGGGCAAAAAGGTAAAAGAGACAAAAGGAGACACAAGGGGACATAATCTTCATATTAATTTAAACTATATTATATTTGTTTTATTTGTTATATAAATAATATATTATATATATTTATATATAAATAATATATTATATATATATCTATAAATATAAAAATATATTAAACATATTTATGTTTATTATATTTATTATATAATTATCATTGAATAATAAAAAAGGAGACAAAAAGGATAAAAAGGAGACAGAAGATTCGGAGGACAAATAAAGAGACAAAAAGAGACAAATAAGGAAATTGATATAAAAACAAAAAAGATAAAGAGAAGGAGACAAATAAAGGAAAAATAGTAACAAAAAGAGACAAAAAGGGAAAAATGAAGAGACAAAAAGGGACAAAAGGAAACAAAAATAAAAGGGAGACAAAAAGTAAAAAGGAGACAAAAGGGGGACAAATAAGGAGACACACAGGAGATAAATAAGGAGACAAAAAAGGAAATTAAGATGGAATAAATAGAGAGACAGAAATGAAATAAATAAGAAGACAGAAATGAAATAAATGAGGAAATAAATAGGGAGACGGAGACATGAGGAGTCAAAAAGAGAAAAGAAGAAACAAAAGAGGATAATTAAGAGGACAAAAAGGGACAGATAAGGTGACAAAAGGGTAATAAATAAGGAGACAAAAAGGGACAAATAAAGAGAAAAAAGGGACACAAAAGGAGACAAATAGGGAGGCAAAAGGGAGACAAATAAGGGGACAAACAAGGAGTCAAAAAGGGACACAAAAGGAGATAAAAAAAGAGCAAAAAAGAGACAAAAAGGGGCAAATAAGGAGAGAAAAATGAAGACAAAAAAGGATAGATAAGAAAACAATAGAGAGTTAAATTAGATAGGAAAACAATAGAGAGTTAAGTGAGGAGACGATTAATAAGGAGACAAAAGGGGGACAAATAAGGAGACAGATGAAGGGATAAAGAAAGAGACAGAAAGAGGAAAATTAAGAGACAAAAAGAAAGGCAAAAAGGAGACAAAAAGGAGACAAAAGGAGAAAAATAGGGAGACAGAAGTGGAGATAAAGAAGGAGACAAAAGGGGACAAGAACCGGGAGAAAAGGAGATAAAAAGGGATAAAAAGGAGAAAAAAAAGAGACAAAAAAGGGACAAAAAAGAGACAGAAGAGAGACAAGGAAGCAGTAGAGGCCCGAGCAGCAAAATGGGAGAAGCAGCCAGAGCCAAAAGGAGACAAAAAGAAACAAAAGGAGACAAAAAAGAAAACAAATAAAAAGCCAAAAAAAGAAAAAGGAGACAGAAAAGGAGACAGGCAACAAAGAGGCATCTTGGAGTACCTCCATATACCTGCAGATTGGCGTGAGCCCGTAGGCTTTAGGGTTTAGGGTTTAGGGTTTGGCATTAGGGTTTAGGGTTTACGGAGTCAAAAGGCTGCAGGAAAGAAGGCGGGTGGTCTGGAGAAAGACTAAACCCTTCGGAGGGTTTTGCAAAAAGACGAAAAGTGAGAAAAGTGGCGACGGCGGAAAGGGCCTTCATGGTGTCTGTGTTGGGGTGTACAGACAGCTCGGCCCAGCGGCGGTTCGAGGCAAATAAACGCAGACACAAATTCAAAAGTTTTCAAAAGTTTTCAAAAGTTTTCCAAAAGTTTTCCAAATCAATTAAACATAATTGGACAAGAATGAGGCCTCAGAGACAAGTGTAAAAGGCCAAACAGCCAGCTGTTGCGGGCAGCCAGCGACGGCGCGGGGCGGGCCTCGAGTGCCACCGAGGGTTTAGGGTTTAGGGTTTACGGTTTAGGGTTTCGGCGCCGGCGGGGGCTCCTGAACTGCTTCCAATTGCTTCTATTCATTTAACTTATTGTTTTGTTTTAACGAATTAAAAGCAGAAGCAAAAGAGTCCGGTTCCCCCCGTCCTGGGGTGTACAGACAGCTCGCCGGGCCGCTGGTCAGCTGTCGGACACCCCGGTGACCTCTGGACCTCTTGGGGGCTAAGACGGGCTCTTTTGCGGATTTAAAAGGTTTAAAATGTTGAAATAATTTAATAAATTAATTATTTATTTCTTTTAACTATTTATTTCGCCATTTAATCCGCCAAAGTGCGCAAAAACGCCGACGCCCGCAGCCCGCGGCGCTCGCGGGCTCCAGGTGGTCAGACACCTCAGCCTGTTGCGCGTCTGCCTCCTTTGCCTTCGACTTTGATGTTTTAAAATTCATTTTATTTATTTATTTTTTGTTTATTTAATTATTTATTCTCTTATTTCTTCTTTTTTTGCAAATGGCTGCTCGCCCGGCCTCCTCCGCCTTCTCCACGCTTTAGGGTTTAGGGTTTAGGGTTTAGGGTGTAGGGTTTAGGGTCTAATGCTCGGCTTTAACGGAGGCAGTGGGGTAAGGGAGACAAAAGAGACGGAGAATGAGCAGCAGCAGCAGCAGCAAAGACAGAAGGGACAAAAGAAACAGAGACAGAGACACAGACACCCAATTCTGCAGCAGCTGACCAAAGGCATCTCTAGCTAGCCAGAGCTAGCCACAGCCACTCTTAGCTAGCTGCAGCTAGCTGCAGCTAGCCACAGCCCTCTCTAGCTAGCCACAGCTAGTCACAGCCATCTGGAGTTATCTGCAGCTAGCCACACCTATCTCTAGCTAGCTGCAGCTATCCACAGCTATCTCTAGCTAGCTGCAGCTATCCACGGCTTCCTCTAGCTAGCTGCAGCTAGCCAAAGACATCTCTAGCTAGCTGTAGCCATTCCTGGCTAGCTCCAGCTAGCCATTTCCTATATCTCCATGAAGAAATATTTTCAACAAGAAAAGATACGAGAAAACCTACAGTGTACATAGACCTGGATGCAGCTACAAGAGTATAGACAATTCAAATAAATAAATATTTGAAAACTAATAAAAACGAATCAAAAATAAAACAAATTAAAAAAAGAAAACAAATCAAAAAGATAATAAAGAGATGAGCAGGTGGGCTTCAGGTGTACATACACCCCAGTAATGCAGCGCAGCGAGGTGCATGCATTTGCTCTTCTCGAAGTGCACCTTTTATTTTATTTAAAAGCAAACATTTGCATTAAAATGTCCTTTTAAATGAAATAAAACCCAAAAGGAACACGAATGCATGCATACAAACGTTTGCATGCATTTCCCACAAGCTTTTCAGCGAAGGCGCCAGCAGTACATACACTCGAATTTTGCATGCTTTTCTGCAACTTTTCCATCCCTTAATGGAGATTTGTATTTATTTGTTCATTTGCAACTTTTCTCAAATATAAGTCCCCATTTTTGGGCCTTTTTTGGCTCATTAATGCATGCAAAAACCCGCAAAATGGACTTTGCAAAAAACACATGCACACCTTCAAAGACTTCTCTTGAAAAGCGGCGGCGCCAGCTGCCTGGTGTACAGACTCCGCGTGCATGCGCTGTGCTTAAAAGAAAGGGAAATAAAAAATAATTATTTGTCTACTATTCTCTTTAAGACAAGTGATAAATGGTAAACTCCATTTAATAACATTTATTCTATATATATATGTTATATAAGTTTATATATATATAAATTTAGAAGAATAACAAACCAATTATAAACTCCATTTACTAGGATTTATACTAATATATACATATATAGGTATATATAATATATAAACCTATTTAACATATATAGATATATATGTACCTAAAGCTCTTCTTTTATTTATATTTCAAACTATATATTCTTAAATGCATATTAAACAAACTTCTTATCTTTTATTAAAAGAGAACTTAAAAGAGCTCGCTGTACATACACCTGAAAAGCGCAGAAACCCCGGTAAATGTACATACACCTCAACTACGCATTTGTTTCCGACTTTTCACGGAATTCACAAAAGCACATTTAATGCAAATATAAAATGAAACGAGCCCATTTTAAACCACTTTATAGACAAACAATATAAAAATAAAAAATAAATTATATTCAGTTTTCCACAAAATGTAATTTGCAACATTCTGCGCAGTGCACTCCTGCGCTGTACGTACACCCCAGTCCTTTGCTTGCAAAGACCCAAAGGTGTAAAACTGTTAAAACAAAAGAGACTTCAAAAACTAAAAATGAATTAAAAGATATAAATCTAAAAAGAAACAAGATGCAAAGACGTAAAGATCAGAAGAAAAAGGATCAAAAAAGAAAGTGTTTCCTTACAAAAAAAGAAAATAAATAAACAGCTAGCCGAGGCGCGCAAGGAGACACTTGGCTCGGGAACTGTCTCCCTTTGTTTCTATTCTGTCTCCTTTCTGCGCCGCTAGCTAGCTAGCTAGCTGGCTAGCTAGTTAGCCAGTTAGTTAGTCACTTAGCTAGCTATCCAGCCAGCTAGCCAAGTGGCTAGCTAGCTATCCAGCCAGCTATCCAGCCAGCTAGCTAGCTGGCTGGATAGCTAACTAGCCACTTGGCTAGCTGGCTAGCTAGCTACTGGCTAGCTGGCTAGCCAGTTGGCTCGCTAGCTCGCTACTTAGCTCGCCAGCTAGCTGTTTGGCTAGCTAGCCCCTAGCTGCTGGCTAGCTAGCCCCTAGCTGCTGGCTAGCTAGCGGGCGCGGGCGGGCGGCTAGCCAGCTAGCTGCATGCTGGCTAGCTGGGCGACTTGTCTCTTGTACTCCTCGAGAGAAATGCAGAGACAATCCAGAGGCAGCTGCACTGGACTGGTGTCCGGAATCAACAAAGGCGCGAAGGAGACAGCAGCAGAAGGAGACACTTGCTGCATGCGCGCGGCCAGCTCCGCGCCCCGCCCCCGCAGCTGTACGTACACTCCACACCCCACACGGCTGCGCGTACACCCCACGCGCTGTACGTACACCCCACGCCCCACACCCAGGGGAGACGAATGAAAGGACTTATTTTGCAAAGAGACAAAAGGAGACAAATAAATGGCAAGGAGACACACGGAGGAGTGAAAGAGGCAAAAGGAGACACAAATACGCAGAGGGAGATGAAATTAAACAAAAAGAGACAAAAATAAACAAAAAAGAGACACAGATAAACGAAACAGAGACATAAAATTGACAAAAAAGAGACAAAAGTAGGCAAAAAGAGACAAAAATAAACAAAAGAAGAGATAAAAATGAACAAAAAACAGACAAAAGCGGACAAAAAAGAGACAAAAACAGACAAAAGGAGACAATAATAAACAAAAGGAGACAAAAATAAAAGGAGACAAAAGGAGACAGCGGGGGGCACCTCGAGGTAGGGAGTCACGAGGGCCTGCTGCTGCTCCTGAGTTGACCCAAGAGCAGCAGCTAAAAAAGCAGCAGCAGAACCGCCAGCAGCAGCAGCTGAAGCACAAAACACACAAAACACCTGCTGCTGCTGCCTCCCCTGCTGCTGCTGCCCTTGCTTCTGCTGCTGCTGCTGCTGCTGCTGCAGTGGCTCCTCTCAGCGGCGCAGCGGCTGCTGCTGCTGCCGCACTCCTTCAGCAGCAGCAGCACTGCAGCAGCAGCAACAGCAGCACTGCAGCAGCAGCACTGCAGCAGCAGCAGCAGCAGCAGACCTGGGTGGTCTGCTGCTCTGTGCAGGGGAGCAGCAGCAGGCTGCGGCTTGTGGGCCGCAGCAAGTTTGTTGGATTTGTTTTTGTCGAAGTCCTTTGCTGCTGCAGCAGGGGCCTTGAGGAAGGAGACGGGGGGGTTGCTGACGCGCTCGCGCAGCAGCTCGGCCTCCGCTGTCTCCTTTTGCTGCAGCAGCAGCGCAAGTGTCTCCTTCAGCTCCTGTCTCCTGCTGCTCGCTGTTCTGGAAGAAGACAAACTTTCTAAAATGGAATTTATTTGATGCTTCAGCGCAGCCACGTGCTTCAGCAGCGCGCCCCTGCGGTGTACAGACACCTCGCCCCGCTGCTGCCGCTCCTCCAGAATCTCCTCCACGTCTTCGTCCGTAAACGTGAACTGCAGCACCCCACACACTCGCTAGCTAGCTAGCTGGCTAGCAGGC